CATCAAACGGCGAAGACTTCTTTGATTTACTTCAAAAAATGATACTAACAACTCTTGTCTATCAAAAAGAAACCAATGCTCACAACTTCAGAGTACATTAAAGTTTATAATGAATAATAATCCATAATTTCAGAACTTCTCTTGCATGTTTATAATTTTTTTCTAAATGAAAGCCTGCTAGCCTATGTTTTAGCATAAAGATGCCCTTAGAAATCAATTCTTCTAGTGTAAAAGAGACCAATACCATAGAAAAGAGAACATTTTCTCAATAGTGCAAGATCTTTGCTCTACAGCACAAAAAAGCAGCCCCAGGATACATAAAAATTTGCCCAACTCAAAAAACCACCAATGAAAACTACAATGTTACGAGTGCATAAAGAATATCAAGGAGTAGGACTTATAAGGCATTTTCTACCTTTTTTCTCTTGGTTATCCTGTGGAGACGTGACATTTGAAGAATTTGATTCACTGAACACACTTAAGTCAACAAAAAGTTAAAATATACAACAACAAAAAAGTTTAAATACAGAAAAAATGCACATTTTGCAAGTCCTGAGAAATGTATCTACGTTGATAAACCCAAAAGAAAAGTTACAATTAAGAGCCAAAGTTATTTAAAAAAAAAAAAAGTCTGATGGCCTCATCAGTAACATTTAATTTGCCTGAAACATTGAAACTTAGTCAAGGAGTGTCCTAGGTCCTACCTTCAGCTAAATAAATTTCTAAAGCCACCTTTGAATGATTCTGGAGAGCAAATGTGCTTTGTGCATAAGGTTATGAACACAAACATTTATGCAAGGACAGTAGGGGAAGGTATACCAATCTCCTACCACCCCATCAGAAAACCCTTCTCTGACAGAGTCTAGAAAGTATTTCTTCTACTCTTAGTTTTCCCAAATCAAATTAAAATTACCTACACTGAGGTTTCTAATGTTTGAAGCATAGGCTGGTCCAAATATGTGTATGTTTTTCTGTAGACTTGAGTTTTCATTAAAAAGCACAAAGAAAGTTTATAAGTTAAAATGAGCATACTCAAAGCCCCAATTTCTCTATTAGCAAAATCTGTATTTTGGGGAGAAGCAAGCAGAGGCTATTGGGAGGAGCATCACAGAATCTATGTTCAATTTTGGAGATCACTGGTCTGAACCTAAAAAATAATCTAATTAATTAATCTCAAAGAACTAATGACTCATGTATGTGTTCTCCAAGTTGGATGATTTTTTAAAAAATAATTTCCCATTCAGCAGGACGTGCATGTCCAAACACATCAACCAGATAAGAAGTTTATATAACCAATGTGCATTTTAGTGAAATCTAATATTGTAACTACTACTCCATTACTAAATATTTCTGAAACCAAGAGTTAAGTGCTGATGATTATAGATTATCACAGGTCTTTGTTGGCATTTTCTATCTGAACCTGTTATTCCTGTGATGAAAAATTTCAATGACTCCCCAGGGAAGAGTAAATCAATATAAACAACTGTTCGGCATTCAAAAGCATCCACAATTTGCCTCCAACCCACCTTTTCCAATCTTATTTCCAGTTCCATCCTTACACTTCCTAATCACGAATACGCTTTCCCATTTGCTTTTCCCTTCTTTTGGAGGGGCCTTTTCCTACTCACCTCAAATTTCATTTGGTTAAAAATCTATTCATGCTTCAAGGTCCACCTCAAACATGATTTCTCCACAAAAATCTTTCTTATCTTAAAACACAAGTCATATTATGCTTTGTATTTTGGACACAGTATAACTGAATTGTCTTTATTTCTTCTTTAATGTCTTAGTTATACTGCTTTGTGTCATGTTATGTGCACATTAATTACACATGTAAATATATGAAGTAATGGAAAGGGTAGGCTAAAAATTTAGTTCATATACCTGTGACCAGAAAATCTTGAGTTCCTGAAGGTACCAAGAATGAATACCAAAAGGTTGTTATTTTTTAGACTAGAGAGTCTTTTCTAATGTGAAGAGATGATTGAGCTAAGCAATAAATGCCAACACCAGTCTCAAGAAAGCAGTATTTGATCTAGGAGGCAATCAGAAGGCTGAGTGAGAGTCTGAATGTGCATGATTTATAAGAGCAATGCACAGTACAGATAAGAGTAAAGACAGAGAGAAGCATATCCAGGTGATGAGAAGTCTGATTTTGATCAATTAAGAAATGACTTTTTAGACTGAGATCCCAAAGTAAGAAAAGAGTTTACATGGAGAGCCAATACACACACGCATAAAAACACATGTATATATGTAGCTGAAACAAACTCATAAAAAACCCCATCCTTTACCATGCAAAATACACTCTAATATGGTCTATTTTTTCATGCTGTCACAACCCACTAAATCTATTTCACAATCCACTAATGGTTCAAAACCTATTTTTGAAAAATACTGACCTCTAGTTGCTGAAAATTATGGCAAAGTTTCAAATTTCATTCTGCAATTAGTCTTCTATGCCATTTCCTGGACTATCTTATTGTCACTTACTCTGGCAAATGTTTAAGTTTCATGGGTGATAGTAAAGAAAATGTGTGCATTTTTACATGTAATTACATACAGTATTTACATCAAAAACATCTTCTAATACACAGCTACTTCTATTTCTGCCAGTAAAATCTGATCTGCAAATCTTCCCCTCTTTTGAAGTTTAAACATGGGAGAGACCTTAACACAGAGCACTGTACAGGAACACAACTGGATTGTGCTACGTCTCTAAGGGTTAGGACTGGGGATACTCAGCTCAGATTTTTCCTACAAACATCCTTAATGCTGCTGTGCTTGCCCTGTCCAATGCCTGAAGTGCCATGTGCTTCATTCAACAGGTACTGAGCTGTACAGGGTCATTTTAACTGCAGTGACAACAAAGCAACATAAGTGCATTTACTATAGTAGCCAATCTGTTTCTTCCAGGCTCTACGGCAGTTAGAAAAGGAAAAATGCAGAAGTTCGTGTCTTAAAGGAGGAATTAAATAGCACAGTCAGTTCCTGGGTGGCCCAGCCACTTACTGTGTGGCTCTGGCATATCATGTAACATCCCAGCCTCAGTTTACACACATAAACCTGAGGAGCTCTAAGAACAGCATCCATCCATAGTCCATCAATCTGTCTCTCTGCACTTTTCTTTCCATCATTAGAGGTCCTCTTCCCCCAGGCTCTATCACCCAAATGGAATGTTTAGTTATATAATAAACACAAAAATTTCCTAAAAACTACTGTGACACAAATGCAAAGAATTATAATCATTCTGTGACCAAGAACAAGCAGCGATCTAATTTTTCTAAACATTTATGAACCATTGCTGTACTTCCTGTTACCCAAGAAACCCAGCACCAACTCATTTTCCTCCATTGATAAGAGTAATGTCACCAAACTTTGTCCTTGGGTGGCCAACTGTCAATTACTGAACCAGATACAGAATATTCCTACAAACTGATTTACATGTAAAACAAAAAGGTTGAAGAGAGCATCTTAAAACTTAAGTGGCAAGGATCCTAACCCAGGGACCTGGGAGCAGAAGTAGAAAATGAAGAGTGATTTGCAGCAGTGGCTATCTTTAAAAAAATCACATGACTTTAAAGTTTTACACAATAATACACATGAAAGTTTGTTTTAATACAGGAAAACTACTTCTCTCTCTAATTTTCAAGTGAAATTGATGTTCTAAGGATACACCCCCAAGATGATGAGCACTGGATGTTTCTACATTCCTCCCAGCTCTCAATTCTGTCACTCAAGATTTAAGGTTACAGTAAGAGCACTGGACCAGGAGTCAAAGTACCTCGACTCTAGTAGCCACAACTACTTTACTGGTTATTAAGGCTTTAGTAAGGCCATTTAAACTTTCTTAGTTCTGATTCTCAGTTAATAAAAATGTAACAATTCCAGGACATTTCTTAAGAGTCAAGTGGCTAAAGTGAGAGCATACAAATAAAAGAATACTGAAACCTGTAAGAACTTTTCTTTTACTGTAGCTCAACTCTTATTTTCCAAGGAGGCCTCCAAAGTAGTGACTTACTCAATGTGACAAAACAAGTTTGAGTTGTGTCCTGGGTATGAAACCAAATCCAGATATTTTTCTATTGTATCAGAGTGTTACATATAATCCAAAACCTACTTTTAACAGAAAATTTAAGACAAGGTAAAAGTTTTATTCCTTAGGCATACGATTGCATAAGTCAGAAGAAAACTAAGTTGGTGACAAATGTTTGCCAGCCTAATATGAGCAATTTGTTACAGATAATGGAGAGCTGAGCTCTAAATATCTGTGTTCTAGTCCTGGTTCCATTTGTGGTTTTTTCCAAGTTGCCTAATTTTCCAGGGCCTCAGTTTCTGCTTCCTGAACAAAGTAAAAGTTAGTCTTTATCTACTTTGCAGGAGTAATCACACAAATAAGAGATAATTAACAATTATAGCACATACACACCAAGAACTATTCTAAATGCTTTATGCATCATAAAATACGTAAACCTTCACAACCACTCTATGAGGTACTATTACTTCCATCTTACAAATGAGGAACTGAAGGCACAATTACTACAAAGAAGCCAATTCTGGATTCAAAGCTAGAGAGTATAGCCTGGGTCCATGCATGTAACCATTGCTCCCCATTTCCTCTCACCATTAGATTTATTATCACTTTTCAATCTGTTAAAATACAAACAGAAATTTGAAAAGGAGAAATATGCAGAGTGCTGTAATTTTAATGACAACTGTGATTTGTTTTTAAGTCCAAGTTTTGTTCTTGACTTAAGGGCCCTGATAAGGTTTCTTTAAAAATCAGCAGGAGTCACTTCATCTAGAAACTATGAAAATCTAGCTTAAGAGCTGAAAAATACCTGAACATACTCATCCAAAGTATAACAAGTTAGATGTATCCCTACTTTCAACCTAAGAATTTAGCATAAAGTTTCCGATTTAAGATCTGTACTATGAACTATTTAAGATTTACACATAATATCAGCTAAACACCACACAACTCACAATACCTGATGCTTCCAAATCACACTGCACTGATTCGGGGGGGAGGGGGGCTACCCTACAAGCGCCAGTTTCCACGTGGGTGTGAGTGAGTTAGTCGAGTGCCTCAAAAGTGAATGGCATCTTACCTGAGATGGGTCCCCCTAAGAGTGAAAAGCCTTCCCTAACTCAGCAGTGCCCCGTCTAAGAAAAACTTCACCTGGACTCATATTCATTAAGTTAAACTACTACTTCACTTTACCTCCACATCCTAGCGCAGACTTCAGACTTGGGGAAAGCGGGTGTATAAAGGGAGAGACGAACAGGCGTTAAAAATTTAAAAGCAAGAAAATTCGCACGGCTTAGAATGGAAACGGGCCTGGAAACGTCAGGAGTTTCAAGAGTCCCACATCCTGGACGTGGAAGAGAACACGTGGTGAGCCAGCACCCAAGGGTGGGGGGGCTTGGGGGTGGGGGCCGGAAGCAAGGAAACAGATTTCTTCATTCTAACTACCCAGGGCAAAGCCAATGAGCTGGGAAAGGGTCAAAGAAGAGCAGTACAGCCCCAAAGTCCACCTCTGTCAAATTCCATAGCTCTGAAGAACGCAAGCAGGAGAGAGCCAGGCCTGGCAGCAAGGAGGGCCCGGGGCCTCGGTGAACATGGCGGCCCAGGAGACGGCGGGGCGCAGGACACAGACCGCATGGAGCCCGCCGGTAGAGCTAAGGTCCGCTGCCCGTCGGATCTGGCCGCGCCCTCTCGTTGCCCTCGGGACAGGCCGCGCACGGAGCTAGCGGCTTGGGCCCAGCCAGCGCCGCCACCGTGCTCGTTGCCTCCTCACCCCCGGCCTCCCGCCGAGAGCCACGCGTGATGCCGGGCTGTGGGGGGCCTGAGGCCGAGCCCAGGCAGGCGCCCGCCCCGCGCCGTCCCGCTCGCTTTACCTGGCCTGCAGCCGCGCTGGCGCCCAGGCCAGACAAGTGCAGGTACCGCTGAGGTGCGCGGAAGGCACGTACTCCTGGTGCAACCGGTTGTTGGCTGTCTCCCATACTCGCAGGTGACCGTCGGTAGACGCCAAAGCGAAAAAGGCCTGACTTTGTGGGGAGAAAGCGCAGGGGACCCCAGCGGGGGAAAGGGGGTCCACAACACCACCGCCGCCCGCCGCCATTGCTGCTCTGGCTCCGCGGCAGCCACGTGTTCGACCGTGCGCAGGCGCACCGGCGCGGGGCGGAGCCTGGAGGAAGGAAGTGGGGCGGAGGGAGCAGATGGAGTGGCTCTTCTCAACGCACGCGAGCGTTAGATGGGCCTACCTTGTGGACGGTGGCCCGGTGGGCCCAGTGCTAACTCGTACTGGGGACAGCTGGAGGCCCCTTACTGAGGACTCCTGAGTAGGGCCCATTCCTTTTAAAAAAATAAGAAAGTTTAAACCAAATGTTTAAAAGAAATATTCACTTACATTTCCGTGATTGTGACAACTGTTTATATTTTTCCCTATCCTCTTCGAGGCTGTAATCGTGTACACGTTAAGAACAATTTATTCAATCATAATAGTGTTAAAGCAATGGTGGGAGGGGCTATTCCCTCTTCTTTGGTCAAGACTATCTCATGTTACCGCACCAAATAGACAAATTTTTAACGTCTCCATAATATTTCACCAAATCGATACATTCTGATTCAAGAAATGCCAGGTACTGTTCAGTCCGCACAGAGTTTATTGACTAGAAGGAAAGACAAAAAACACTACCCTCAGGGCTATGGGGAGACTGAATCTTTCATAAGTAGAGCGAGTTATGGTAAAATTTGTAGGTTATTTGGAATGACGTAAACTGATACACATTTTTAAAAGGCCTCCTGGGTGCCGGATGTAGACTGTAGAAGGGCAAGAATGAAAGCAGAGAGACAAGCTAGGAGGATGGTGGGTTGCACTCGATGAACATGACAGAGGTGGTAAGAAGTGGTTCGATTCCAGATAAAATCTGAATTTAGAGCAAGTAGGACTTGCTAACTGGATTGACTGGGAAGGATGAGAAAGAAGCATAAGTCATTAAGTTAATGGTGATACTATTCACTGGATTGGGAAAATGGGTTTGGGTGGAGTGGAAATCAAGACTTCTGTTTTTTATAGTTAAGTCTGAAATGCCCATTAGACATCCAAATAGAGTTGTTCAGTAGGAAGTCGCATATGTGAGTAGATCACAGATATAAATTTTGGATGCATTTGCATACAGATGCTATTTGAAACTGTGGGACTGGTCAGATCATGTTCAGTGTAAGTATAAATAGAGAAAAAAACTTAGCCCAAACTGTGCCAACTTGTCAGGAATCCGAAGAGGATCCAGCAAAGGAGATTAAGAAGAGATAACAGTAATAAAAGCCAAGGAGAATAAGATGTCCTGGAAACCAAACATTTTATAAAGATTTCAGAAGGAACACATAATCAAAGCCATGTCAAATGCAGTAAGGTGAAGACTAAGGATTAATCAGTGAACCTGGCAAGATCTAGGTCATTGGTGACTTTTCAAAAGCATTTTTAATAGAGAAGTAGGGGAAAAAACTTATTGCAGAAAGTAGAGGGGAAAATGGGAGATGAGAAAGGGCAGAAAAGTATAGGCAACTATTGCAAGGTTTTTTGTTATAAAAAGCATACATGAGTCTGTATGAAGAAAGGTCTGAGCTAGAGTTGTAAATTTGTTAGTCATAAGTATATAAATAAAAACTTATTTTGCACTTACTATATATCAAGCACTGTTTTAGGTGCTTTATGTGTATTAATTCATTTAGTCCTCACAATAGCCCTAGGATGTAGAAACTATCAATATCTCCATTTTTCAGATAAGAAAACTGACATATTGAGCTGGGCAATAGGAGGAGGAGCTGGGTTTCTAACCCAAGTCATCTGTAAGCATGGACGACCTGACCCAATGAGAGTATGTAGGGTTTACACAGATGACCCTCCTATACCCACATGTCTCAATTCCTTGACCACCCCCCTTTCAATGATCTCTATGCTACACCAGCCACTCACTCCCATAGTCATGTCCCAGACCTTGTCATACAATAACTGCACCTTTTCCATAATCTCAGTTTCCACATACCACTCTGTAACCACCAACTCCTATCTTTCTAGATCATTCCCTCTACCTCCCAGGGTCTAACCAGTGCTTCTATCTCACTGGACCCTCAGTCCAATGATCCTACAATCTTTTCACCAGTCCTTATCCTTCCTAAGGGCAGCATCTCCCTCTGAATTTATCCTGTACTCTATCCTTACAACTCTCAACTCCCTTGCCTCTTTCCTATATCATAGTCCTTCCTTGGTAAAAGCACAAGCCTGGTAAAATCTAACTCTCCACCCACAAGCAGATGAAAGTGACTAGAGAAAAGCCACAGCCATTTTATTACGATTCTTATCCACTTTCCTATTCATGATTTAAAAAAAACTTTTAACTAGGCATAGAAAGGAACATCCTCAGCTTGATAAAGGGACTCCACACATACACACACACACAAAACACAACTCACTTCATACTTAATAGTGAAAGACTGAATGCTTTTCTCCTAAGATTGAGAACAAATCAATATTATCCAATCTAACCAATTCTATTCAGTATTTTACTGGAAGTTTTAGGTAGTGCAACAAAGATGATGATGATGATGATAATAATAATAATAACAATAATAATAAGAATAAGAATAATAATAGCATGCAACTTGGAGAGGAAGGAGTAAAAGTATCTTTATTCACAGAAGACAGATAAAATCTAAAGGGAGTCACAAAAGTTCTGAAACAAATAAATGAATGTAGCAAGGTCAAGTAGTGAATGGATAAACAAATATGGTATATCCCAAAATGGAATATTATTTAGCAATAAAAAGGAAGTACTATTGTTATATGTTACAACTTGGATGAGTCTCAAAAACATGCTAAATAAAAGAAGCCAGATGCAAAAAACTACATATTGTGTGATTCCATTTATATGAAATATCCAGTAAAGGATATTTATAGAGACAGAAAATAGATCAGTGGTTACCTGGGGTTCAGAGGAGGAACAGAGATTAACTGCAAGTGGGCATGAGGAAAAATTTTAGGGTGACAGAAATATTCTAAAGTTGGATCATAGTAATGGTTTCACAACTCTGTAAATACACTAAAAGTCATTGAACTGTTCACCCACAATGGATGACTTTCATGGTATGAAAATTATACCTCAATGAAGCTTAAAAAAAAAGCCTTTCCTAAGCTCTTTTTTTAATAGTAGGGTACTACTAATAAATACAAAAAATTATAGTTAGAAAACTGTCAATGAATGCAAAACTAGTATCGATACATTTTTCCATCACTAATTAAAAAGCTTAAAATGGTAACTTTACTGTGGAGATACAGGAATATTCAGACTTAACAGTGATCAAAGTTAACATCATCAATATTGGAACTGACATCATGTAACTCCTGATAGGATGTACTCAGAAGGAAAACCTCAGTTCAGTAGTATTTCTGCCGAAAGTGCATATTCCAAGTCTAATCAAGAGGAAACATCAGACAAAGCCAAAGTGAGGGGAATTCTATAAATAAATAACCTACATTCTTCAAAAATGTCAAGGTCAAGAAATAAAGGCTGAGAAGCTGTTCGTTCCAGATTAAAGAAGGCTAAAGAGATATGAGAATTTAATGACTGTGTGATCCTGGATTGGATCCTGAACTGGAAAAAGACTTATACTTATAAAGCTTTTGTCACTTATTGAGCTAAGTGACAAAATTTGACTGTGGTCTATAGATTTGATAACAGTACTATGGCAGTATGAAATGTCCGTAATGTGATGATCTGTACTGTAGTTAGGTAGAAGATTGTTCTTGTTCTCAGGAAATACTCACTGAAGTACTTAGGGGTAAAGGGACACAGCGTCTCCAACCCACTTTCAACTGGTGTAGAAAAAAATGTGTGTGTCCGTGCATGTGTGTTTGTGTGTGTGTTGTGTACATGGAGGAGAGAGAGTACGGGGAGAGAATGAAAAAGCAAATGGATTAACATGTAAACAGTTAGTGAATCTGGATAACAGGTATAGGAGACACTTCTGCAACTTTTGAAATTATATCAACAAAGAATTTACTAAAAAAGTCTCCCTTGATCTCCAACTTCAAACACCCCATCCCCACCTCCACTTAGGCAATCCATCTCTGAGTTTCTGCTATGATGATTTCTATCATTTCATTAAAAATAATAAAATAATTAAAATAATCTGTTCCAGAGTCAACCATCCCAGTGGCATACCTAACATACTTAACACCCAGAGCAGATCGTTTAAAAAAAAAACCCTTTTCTAGATGACAGGATTATTTTTAGCAAAAATCATTAAATGAAACAAATAATAATAAAAGCCATAAAATAAACACTGATAATTTTCTTTTATTGAACCTTGCATATATAATCTTGTTAGTTAAAAAAGAAATAAATAATAAAATAAATGTTAAAATACAAAAAAGGGGAAAGTCATGGCTTTATATTTTTACATTAGAACATTTTTAAAAGGGGGGAACTTATATCTGTATATATTAGTCTGTTGAAGCTATGAATAAGAATCTTTATAATTGTTGTACTGTTTATTTTAAATATCCTGTTTTTAACACAGGAAAAGTGGTACCACAGGGGCTGGAGATGTGAATTATTCTTGAATGATTCTGAAACTTTAAGAACTTAAAAAGAACTCTTGTTAGTGAGTCCACATGTGTCGGGGCCAACTATATAATCAGGAGTTCTTGGAATTAACTTTCTTATACATTATAATGTTTATCAAAGGACAAGTAATAAAAATATACTAATGTGAAGCATACTTAATACACAAATACATCCATATGTAATTAAAACTCAGTGTTGGTCACAAAACTTGTTTACAACTTGAGTCAATAAAATATTTAGGGGAAGAGAAGTATTTCACTGCTGACATTGTTCGGAACGGGTGACACCTGGTGATGAGAGGAAGCGGACTATAGTAGTAGTATACTAGACTATATAACTGAACCCCTTTGCTGTACACCTGAAAGTAACACATTATAAATCAACTATACTTCAATAAAATTTTTAAAAATTTTAGAAAGCAATGCATAGAAGAAAGATTAGAATGCTATTTCTCTTGGGTGTTCAGGGGATTTCTCTTGAGGTGAGATAAGCATGATTAGGAGTCAGTTATGAATAAACGAATGAGGAATA